TAATTATGTTTCAGAGAATGAAAAAAAAAAAAAAAAAAAAAAAAAAAAAAAAAATATATATATATATATATATATATATATATATATATATATATATATATATATATATATATATATATATATATATATAGCATTAGACAAAGGACAACTTCCAAAATATTTCCCAGTTTCAGTGCTGGATTCAGCTAAACACTCCTCAAAGCCTCAAAGAAGGAGCAGCTTCAACAAGCAGAAGCTGTGGATTGTGGGCCACAACCTGTAAAAAAATATGATCTATTACATGCATAGTGTCTACGATATGTTGTAGCAAGAAGGTAAACAAGGATGTACTTAAAACAACAGAAAATGCTACAAATTCATAATTATCCATCAAAGCCTGTTAAACACCCACAATCTTCAGCAGCGCTGCAGTGTCTCTCTATGCAGCCGCTTTCCCTGCATTCTACATCACAAATAAGGAAGTCACAAAAGATATGTGAATGTTTCATATTACTTACTCATGCTTATTCTGAATAAACAGTCTGAAGTCTGAATTATTAGCCCCCCTGAATTATTAGACCCCGTTTGTTTCTCCCCCCCCCAATTTCTGTGTAACAGAGAGAAGATTTTGTTCAATACATTTCTAAACATAATAGTTTTAATAACTCATTTCTAATAACTGATTTATTTTATCTTTGCCATGATGACAGTAAATATTATTTGACTAAATATTTACATTTAAATTTTTGAAAAACAAATGTCTCTTATGAGGGCGAGGCAGTGGCGCAGTAGATAGTGCTGTCGCCTCACACCAAGAAGGTCGCTGGGTTGCTGGTTCGAACCTCGGTTCAGTTGGCGTTTCTGTGTGGAGTTTGCATGTTCTCCCTGCGTTCGCGTGGGTTTCCTCCGGGTGCTCCGGATTCCCCCACAGTCCAAAGACATGCGGTACAGGTAAATTGGGTAGACTATATTGTCCATAGTGTATGAGTGTGTGTGTGGATGATTCCTAGAGATGGGTTGCGGCTGGAAGGGCATCCGCTGCGTAAAAACTTGCTGGATAAGTTGGCGGTTCATTCCGCTGTGGTGACCCCGGATTAGTAAAGGAACTAAGCCGACAAGAAAATGAATGAATGTCTCTTATGGTCACCATGGTCACATTTGTTTGATAAATACAGTAAATATAATAATTTTGCAAGATTTACTTTTATAAATCCTGTGATTTTATTTTGAAATGTATATGAACACTTTTAACAACTTTTTCTTATTATTTTTCTTTTTTTTATTCTTCTTGAGAAAGTCCTATTTCTTTTCGCTTGACTGAACAAAAATACATATATAAAACCTATTTGTATGCCAATTGTGACATGCCAATGCTTACAAAACGTAGGTAACACTTTAAAACAATGTTGATGTATTTACTACCATGAACAAGCTATTAGTAATACATTGATTGCACTTTTTATTCATCGTTGTAAATGTTAGTTAATGTTATTGAAAATTAAATATTGTTAGTTCTTGTTGGGCAACACTGTGTCGCAGTGGTTAGCACTGTCGCCTCACAGCAAGAAGGTCACTGGTTTGAGCCTCGGCTGGGTCCAGGCCCGTTTCCCGGATCGTTTGAGAAGTGTGAGTGCGCTTAATCGGGCTCAAGCACGGTTCACTTGGCCGGCCCTGGCTCGGCTGGAAGAGGTGTGCCTGAGCCCGGTTTACTTGGGCTTTGGCGCAGTACACTTGTGTGTGAGTGCAAAACGCGCCAAAGCCCGAAACTGAAAGCGAGACGTGACTTTTAAGTTTCATGTGGATTTATTAATAATTCTTACTGTTCAGTGAACGCAAACTGCCATAGTTTATTTAAGACGCAAACCCCTCACTGCACCACAGCTGCGCGGCTTCAGCAGACCTCCTCATTCCTGCAGCACGAAAGCTTTATGATTGTTTATGAGCGCCAAAAGTGGCGGATCTGTTCGGCGAAATATCTGACTGTGTGTCCCCGCAACCCTAAGGACTGTTTGGCGAAATATTTGACGGCATATCAAACGACTGAAACGATATAACTAGAGAAATCTCCACTGTGCTGCTGAGTGAGAGAGCGCTTCTCACTGAACAGCGCAGCAGCGATGAAGTAAGCGTGCCGAAGCCCGTTTGTGGTGTGAGCGCGGGCCGTCGGGGGAGACAGGAGGGGGGACAAGCATGCTTTGGCCCGGTTAGAGGCAACTGTATCTAGTGTGAGTATGGCCTTAGTGAAGCCTTTAGATGTCACTTTAAGCTGAATGCTAGTATCATGCATGTAATCATAATGGCAAGGACAAAAGAAGTTAGTAATTAGACATTAGTTTAGCAAAGACATACAGTTGAAGTCAAAATATTAGCCTGTTAATTTAGATATTTTTTTAAATGCAATCCATTATTTTCACAATCTAAATACTTACAGTATATGAATGAATGAATGATTGAATGAATGAATTAAAGACTGACCTGGTGTATGAGATCTTCATTCATTTTCTTGACGGGTTAGCCCCTTAATTAATCCGGGGTCGCCACAGTGGAATGAACCACCAACTTATCCAACACATTTTTACGCAGCGGATGCACTTCCAGCCACAACCCATCACTGGGAAACATCCACACACTCATTCACACACACTTATACACTACGGACAATTTAGCCTACTCAATTCACCTGTACCGCATGTCTTTGGACTGTGGGGGAAACCGGAGCACCCTGAGGAAACCCGCGCGAACGCAGGGAGAACATGCAAACTTCACACAGAAACGCCAACTGAGCCGAGGCTCAAACTAGTGACCCAGCGTCTTTCTTGCTGTGAGGCGACAGCACTACCTACTGCGCCATTACGTCACCTGGTATGAGATCTTCATGTTTACAATTGCGCTCCCTTCGCAGTGCGCTTTGAAATCATTGATGTCATTTTGAACACAGCCTCATGATGAAAGCTATAGGTGACCTATTATTATACCTAAAAGCAGAATTTATGTTGCATCTTCAAAGCTTGGAAAAAAAAAAAAAACATAGCATAGCCTACGTTAATGCTTTTAATTTTTAGTGGGTTATCTGTATTGTATATGTCATGGGCCTGCTGGTTAGAACATTTCTGCAGTGGTTTGCATGTGTCAAATTGTAAAAGTAGACTTTCAAAAAACAAACAAAAAAAAACACAATATCGTACTAAATGATAATGATACTAGTAATAATAATAATCATCATCATTAATATTATTATTAAAGTATGTTTTTTTCATTTCCTAATAAATAATAAATATTAAATTTTTATTTCTTAAAAAATAGCCTCCTTATTTATTTATTTATATGATTTATATATGATATTAGAATACGTGCTAGCTTTTCTAAGTGATTTAATGTTTTAGAAGAGTATGTAACGTCGTTGTTTGGGAAATGCACCCCAGTTTAGTATTTAAAATGTACTGACCAAATTAGTATTAGCATTGTAGTTTTAAAAACAGATTAATAATCTCAATTTCTTCAATTTTCTCTTAATGTACTAGGTGCAATTATGGCAGTAAAACAGTAGCTTTATGTGCAAACTATTCTATGATCTTTTAGGGCTTTGCAAACACAATGTATTAATAGTGTAGAAAAAACAGCAATTGTTCAGCCAGTTTCATCATTAATTCATGAACTAGAATAACAACATTCCCCTCTGCTTGTCTGCCATCTTTATCCACAGGAGGCAAAACGACACCGTATCATTTTCCACCACATCAGAGATGCATACGCATTGTTGAAGCACAAGTATTTAGAAGAGAAACACAGGTTCATTCCATAAGAAATGCATTACTCTATAATTACTGCTACCCTGCAACAGACACATTCAAACTAATAAAGAACTACCTGAAAAAACTTTAATTCGACAGCACAGAAGCACAAACTTTGTATTGATTTATAAATGCAATAAGAAGCAATGAGAGACTAGTATAAAGTAGGGAATTAAAAAACACTGCACTTAAAAAAAAATAAAAATAGCCTCATTTTACAACTTAGTCTGATTATTTTTCTTATACTTTCACCTGATGTCCAGGTCTGGCCAGAGCATGTTTAACTTAGCTTAGCATTGATAACTGAATCAGATTAGACCATTAGCATCACACTCAAAAATAACAAAATAGTTTTGATAATTTTTTCCGATTTAAAGTTTGACTCCAAGGAAAATTATTGAAACTTTTTTGTCCTTTCTGAGAGAGATGCTAATCAGGGTTTGTGTAAGGTCGACCAATTTGGCATCATTCATCATACAATTTTGCATCATAGGCGGTGGTGAACTAATTATTTATAAACAATTAACTAATTCATAACAAATTAATTATTTGTAGCCTAATGTTTCAACTACCTGACCCGCATCGTCTTTGTTTTACCCATAATAAAATCATAAATAAATGAAGATATGTTACACACAGATAACCACATGTCAATCACTTTTACCGCTGGACTCTGGCATGAATAGGCAGAGTGATCTGTCTTGTTATAATGACGTCGACAAACCTGGTTGGTAAAAAAGGTGCGCAACCAACAGTATCTGAGGTTTTCATTAAAATTACTTAAAAATACTAAGTACAAGCTCGAAAGTGAAAGATTGAAGTAGTGTACTGACGCTTTGACACATTATCTGTTAGATTCAAAAGACAGAAGAGTCATTAGATAGAGACAAGATTAATTAAATATCACGTTTAACAATTATAGTGAGACACAATCCCGCAGTACATCCTTGATAAACTGTCCAATGTGCGATGGACGATGGCCAACCCTAATGCTAATGGTCTAATCCAATTCAATGATCTATGCTAAGCTAAGCTAAAGTCTGATCTCCAGACACAGAAATCAGCTAAATGGATTAAATATATGGTAAAACATTCCTGTTTAACTCTGGAGGAGTGAAATTGTAAAATTAGTCTATTTAAAAAAGAATCAAATAGAAAACAGTGGAGTCTTCCTATAAAAAAACACTCAGTTGAGGGTCAAAGTAAGAGAATGATGAGAAGTGAACTCACTGGAAACAGTCTCTCTGAGCAGACACATTCTTCAGGTATTGTTTCAGGGCCTCACAGAAATCACCCAACTGCTTCTGGGAAACTTTCATCTCCTGGCGGATCAGGTACAGGGACTGAAGACAGAGAAAAAGAGAGAGGGAAATGGGCAGATTAGTTTGCAGCAGTCTGAATTCCTAATGAAAAACCTGAAAGTCTGTGGCCGATGGGGATATCTTTTGATTAAAATGCAGGCAAAGTTTACAAATACTTTGAACTTTATAAAAGAGATTGTTCTTTCTTCAGTCGAGCATTAAAAAAAAATGATTTTTTTTTTGTTTTGCTGAAACTGTGGTCCTTGGTGTCTCATATAATGTAAGACAGTAGCTAATAGCACATATACAGAAACATTTTGTATATAAAAGCAAAACAAAATGAAAACCCGCAGCTCCTAGTAATAAGCTGGGGTCTTGTGAAGTGAAGGGATCATTCAGTGCAATGAAACTAAACATTATTTACAATATAGTCCACAGCCTTGTCAAATGGTCATGAGTTTTTTCATGAATATCTGGTCTGGAGTGCACACAACCTGTTGAATAGTGCCGTAATCAAGGATACAAACTATAATGTATTTACAACTGTTTTATGTTTAAGATTCAAGGATAAGCACAAGCAAATTGAATAATTTATAATACATAAATAATTACATATTATTTCTGATAATATGTAGTTACGTTTCCTTGTGAGATCGGGCTGCATGAAGTACTACGACGATAATCACGTCAGATGCTGATTATGTGTTTTTTTTAGTTTCAAAAGTTAGCAGATTGACTTTAAATACCATTTAATGCTAAATTTACTGTCATACAGAATGTAGCAGCAGTAAGTTTATCTCAGATAATATCTCAGATAGTCACTGAGTGTGTACTTTTAATAATGTTAATAAAGTTTAATATTCATTATCTAGATTATAAACTTACACTAGTGCACTATTCTGCACTTCTGAATGAACTTCTGTGGTATTTAAATGTTTCTGTAGTGTTGTGTCTGGCGAGGACAGACAAATTGCTTGTTGCTGGAACCTTGTTGTTGGAATACACTGCAAACCTGCTTCAACTGCTTTAAAAGCTTTGGCCCTCATTTACTCTGAGTCACGATATTTAATGTAGATGAAGGCTTATGTAAGATATGAATATATAGTTGCCCCTTTAGGAGAAGGAAAAATAAATATGGTACATACTTAAGAGAAAAATCAATACAGCAACTCTTTTGGATAATTGCCTGAGCAACTAATTAATTCCCAGTGTAATGTAAATGAAGTAGAATTGTGGGAGTGCAGTTGGCTACGAAATGAAGTACGGGGCAAATCACATGGCCTGCTTTGTGACAAACACACACACACACACACACACACACGCGCGCGCACACACACGCACACACAAAACAGATATGCTGCAAAAAAAATATAACATTTTCAGAAGGATCAATTTCCAACTTAACGGAAATGAAAGTGAACTGCCTCTGACTTGGATATTTCACATATAATTGCACCTTTCTGGTGTAACATGTCACTCAGGCCTCCCACTCTTTTCTAAATTGGTTCTGTCATCTTGAACCAGTTTTATTAAGTCTGAGAGATTTGATTAAATAACTAAAATTACCCCACGACACACTAAGAAATGATAGGTATAAATGTAATAATTGCTTGGCTGAATATTTCCACATTGAGACCCAGAGGAGCCTGGAGTGTTGATTAACATCTGCATTTATTTTATGAAAACCTAAAGGTCTAAAACGGCCATATGTTTTTTTGTTTGTTTGTTTGTTTGTTGTTTTTTTTTACCAAATTTCAACTGAAATATTCTCAAAATGTACATAATATAATGTCGTAAAATGTTTTTTTTTTTTGTTTGTTTTAAACTAAAGGAATACTTTTATTCAGTAAAAACATGACAGGAAGGGTATTTATAATGCTGTTAAAATTATTTAATTTAATAAATGCTGCTCTTTAAAGTCTCTGTTCCTAAAATCTAAAAAAATTGTAGTGATCATAAAAATAAACCAGGGTTTATACACATTTTTACTACAAAAATTCCAGGACTTTCAAGTCAATTTTCGCGACCTATTGTTTCATCTAATGTCTACTTATATGTGGTAAATCATAAGAAACGTTTAAATTTATTACGACATATTATAAAAAGGCAATAGTTTCAATTTATTTTTACATCTATGCAAAATAGATGATGCTTACACAGTTCTAATATTGTGAGAGCATGTTTTGACCATCAAAAAAAAAAGAATTAAAAACAACTAACCTCCATTCCAATATATAGACATTTATCAAACAAATTTTTAATAATCCTAATAGTTTGTTAAACTAGTAATAGTAGGTAAAACTATTTCTATTATAAAGCGGCAGACAGGAAACGCAAACACATGTAACAAGTTTCACATTTCACTGCATTGCAAACTTCAAGCTTGGTGAATTCTTACCTGTGAAATCACATTACATGAGACCAATAGAAGATAATTTAAAATATGAAATTTAAAATTTGAAGCAATCCCTCACTTTTATTAATGTCTAATCATATTGTTTAACCCCGCCCCTTCTTGCAGCGCAGAAATTTGCAAGTACAAGCTCTTGTGTGACCGCAGCCTAAGTCGCTTTGGACAAAAATGTCTGCTAAATGTAAATGTAATTTCCATGACTTTTTTTTTTTTTTAGAAGTTTGTAGGTTTTTCTAAAAAAAAAAAAAGGTTTATCCAAAACTTTTCCAGGTTTTCCATGAACTCATGAACCCTGATAAATCTTTCTTGAACACAAAATCAGCATTTTAGAATAATTTTTAAAGTCACTGAAGCCTGGAGCAATGAGGGTGACAATTCAGTTTAACCATCATACAGTTTAAAAAACCCCAGAAACTGTTACATTTTAACAGCATTCACAATATTACAGTTTTCTGTCTTTCCCCCCCACAAAATAATGTTATGCTAACTTGAACTTGGTGAATTTTGCTAAATTATGTAGGCTTTTGATCAGAGAAAAGTCTGACGGATTCAGTGTGGGATTGCTTACACAGATGAACATAGAATTTGAGTATTTTTGGTTCTTCTGTGAAATTTTAATTATCTTCAAATATTTCCCAAGTGCTGTTTAACTGAGAGTATTAGAGAATATTTCTCAAACATAATAGTTTTAAAGCGCCCCTATTATGCATTATAAAAGGTCATATTTTGGTTTTAAGGGGTCTCCAACAACAAGCTGATAAGCATGCAAGGTCAACAAACATTATTATTGTCTTATAATATGTATTTATTTTACCTAATTATCCCAACGACTCCCATATGATTAGGTCAGCTATTCATTTGTTCGCAAACCCCTCCTTTGTATGATGCTAATCTGTGCTAATTGGTCTGATGACCCAGTCTGCCGGGATTGGTCGACTGCATTTAGCGCGAGACAGAGAGAAACGCCCACCACAATTATTTACATTGTTGAAGTAGTCAGAGTGCAGAGTGTATGTGTGAGCACAGTGCAGGAGTGCATTAATGCAATGCAATACACACCAGCATATTGCTCTATTCCTAACCATAAGTAATAACAACGACACACATTTAGTATTAATCCACACAGTGACAAAAGCTGAACTACAAATGGCATAGGATCGCGAGCTCAGAAACACATTAAAAATCAGTGATGAAAGCGGCATGTGTTGCGTTTTCAATGTGGTTGTAGACACAATATGAGAATATAAAGAGCTAACCAGATATAGTACAAGTTACAATAACAAGTAACAAAACACAACTAAATACATATTTTGCAAGCTACAGAAAACAAGGAGGCAAACATTTTAGTCATACTTACACTTGTGAACTGGAAGAAGAAACTGATCCATGAACTGTGTAATGATAAAGCTCCTGTGAAGCTCTGACAAAGTCCCATATCAACAGACTTTTCTGATCCTTCCTTTAACAAATGTCCAACAAATAATCCATGCAGGGTAGATTATTGCAATAATCACCAGAACGTTTACTGATCTTCAATGATGATCAGTCCCACACACAATCTCACTCCTTTATTGTTTGAAGGGAAAGGCGTGTTCACATTTTACCGGATTCGGCACTTCGTATTTGGTATTGTTTCAATGTCTACGTCAATACGAACAGGCAAAAGATCTGGACGAATGACAAATCATTTAAAAGACACTCAATCTTAAAAGCATCTCGAATCACACATGCACTTTTAAATCTAACCCTCAGCTGGATGTTTCATTCACTTAGTGCTGAGTTACACACTGTATGAAAGGTAATTTTCAAAAAACCATAATAGAGGCTTTTTAATAAATTTTTTTTTTGTCTTTGCCATTATGCTATTTTGCAAGATACAAGTATTCATCTTAAAATGTCATTAAAAGGCTAATGAATGTCATTGGACAACAGTGGTTTGTTCTGTAGAAAAGAAAAAGAAAATCTTCATAATACTCGGGGCTAATAATGAAATTGATTATTATTACTTCATTCATTCATTCATTTTCTTTTCGGCTTAGTCCCTTTATTAATCAGGGGTCGCCACAGTGGAATGAACCGTCAACTTACCCAGCACAAATTTTACGCAGCGGATGTCCTTCCAGCCGCAACAAAACACCCATACACTCTCGTTCACACACTCATTTACAAACATAGAGTACACTACGGCCAATTTAGTTTTTTCAATTCACCTGTACCACATGTTTTTGGACTTGTGGGGAAAACCGAAGCACCCCAAGGAAACCCATGCAAACATGGGGAGAACATGCAAGCTCCACACAGAAACACCAACTGACCTAACAGGGGCTCAAACCAGCGACTTTCTTGCTGTGAAGCGATCGTGCACCACCCACTGCAGCACTGGGACATTATTATTATTAATATTTCAGCAAAACAAAACAAAAATTAAAATAAAAAATATCCTTGCTCCTTTAAACATTACTAGTACTTGAAAAATAATAGACATTACAGGAGGGCTAATGATGTTGTAATATGCTCCATTACAACCACACAAGTGCACTTCAACAAACGTCATAGCAGCATAGGACATAAAATAGTGAGAAAGAGTATGCTTTTTATAGATTACAGAGTATATTTGGTATGTGCTGCA